GTCAAAAGAAAAGAAGACTTGAAGGAACTTGTATTTTAACTTTTAAGACAATTTGTTTGTGTTGCAACTTGAAAAAAGACCCAAATTTTATTCTCGCGTAGGGTCTACACTTTCTCAGGACCGGCCCTGCTTCAAAATGTTATTGAACGTACTTATTGATTTCCGATCTTAGAACAGGTGTCTACTTTATTCAATTGGGATTCAAAGAAGAACGGTGATTGCTTGTTTAGTTACTCATAATTTTATATGATAAAACCACATTCAAGATGACCTATTTGAAGAATGGAATGATGATGCAATATTTAATGATGAAAAAGGAGAAAGTCAAGGAATCGGAGTCTTCAGAGATGATATAGATAGAACACAATGGGACACGGGTGTACAATATATGATGAATTTGCTAATAGATTAGTATGAAATGTTTAAATTAAATATATTGTCCTAATATTATAGAACTTGTTTCTTTGTATTCTGTGAACTTGTTTCTTCAGTAATTTAATATTGTAATAAATTTTATGCAGTAACAATAGCATCTAGAATAGTAAAATAACATAAAATATATATTCAATACTTGTTACATGCACAAGGATAGATTGGTAATTTAATATAATTCAAAATATACATTCAGCGCATATAGTAAACAATTTGTTACACTTACCCCAAACAGATATATCAATACATATTAATATATTAGTGCAGGGAGCATATTTTAGAAAAACTTAGTGAACATTTGCAGCCCTTTGAAAAGAACATTTTAATGACCAGGACGATAAACATAATTAGCAAGTAGGGATGTACCTTGCTTGTAGAGAGACAGTAAGACCAAAGAGGATCTTAGCCATTAAAATGAGAAAATAAGTGGATCAGATCAATTTTAAAGGGTAAAATGTGTAGGCAAAAGTATAAATATTAGGAACTTGTTTCGTAAAATAAAGTGATAAATGTGCATTACTATAGAAAAACGTGCATTTGACTCATGCAAAAGTGCACCATTATTCTCAATGACAATAACCGTTTTGTTATTTTTCTTATCGAGGTGAATGTGCACTCTTACATAGTTACATGCCGCATATGCACTTTTATTACTACGTAATTAGTATTGCACATTTAGATTTAGCATTTTGTCACTGCAATTTTGATCTATGCCGATTTTTAAGTAATCAAGGGCTTATATCACTTCTCACTTTTCATGGGAAACCTCTTTGTATTAGAACACACTCTATATATATGTATGTATATGCGGATTTTTGTGTATTATATCATGTTATTGTTTCTGACTACAAGTAGTTTTTCCCTGGAGAAGCGGATCAAGGTCGCAATTGACCTTGCTATCGATCAGGAATTTAATGTTAAGTTGTTCAACTTTGACTCTCATTTGAATCTGGCTGACCAGAAGGCCACCAGAGGCTGCAAACCAATCTTAACAGTTGAAAGATATGTAGACCCACAGAAAGGCAATGCTTTTGCTTCAGATGTGTATGCATATGGCTTCCTACTTACTGAATTGATGACAAAGAAAATGGGGTTGAATGCCAAAGAGGTTACTGATGACACGACTTACTCACATGATGAGCAATCCTTGCTGGATTTGGGACATCGATGTATGGAGTGTGGCGTTAATCGCCGACCAAACATATGTGATGTTGTTGATTCACTTAACCAACTCTCACACACAAGAAAGAGGAAATATAGCAGCACATCTTCACCTAATGATGATGATGATGATGGTAAATCCGTGAAACTGTATTAAAGGTGGATGGGTGGGCGGGTGGATTCTGTTTGAAGTTGTAACAAACAACTATTATTTTGATGGTATTGGAACTTATGGTGGTTAAATGTGCAATTGAACTTGATATATTATAGAGAAAACGGTCCATTTAGTACCTGAAGTTGCACCATGTGGAGTAAAGAGTCCCTGATCTTGAAAATCAAACGGGTTGGTACATGTATTCGCCTAACCCGTGCAAGTGTGGTACTTCTATTAGATGGCACTGTTACCTTTGTTGAGGTGGCTAACGGTACATGTGATGTGTAAAAACAAAGCCATCTCATCTCTCCCAACTGCACCATTACTCGAGTAACCCTAATTTTTACCATTCTTACGTTGTTGTTCTTATATTACGGACGATGAAGTGAAAAGGTTAGCAGTGAAAAGCCAAAAGCGGAAGAATAACTACCATTTCAATAAAGGTATGATATTGTATTACAGGGGCATCATTTATGGCGTATGTTGTGTTCTGTATTATGTTTATTATGTTGAAGTTAATACCATTTAATAGGTGTAAGGTTAAAAATGACTTCAATGCACATTGTGTATTTCAAAATTGATGGTATTATGAGTAAAGTGTTCTGAAAAATGGTGAGACATATCAGTAAAGTGTTCTGAAAATGTTGAAATGTATGAGTGTGTTGTGAGTAAAATAGATTAGAACATTGCCTTTACACTTTAACTTATGGGATAGTTGGACAGATATTTGTTTTCATGCAGGGTTGGAGCCAGAGCACTGGGTCAGACTGGGCCGATACAAAGAATATTATTTGAAAAATTTTACCCGGAATTTTTTACACTAAAAATTTAGACATTTTATTGTGGTTGGTGACTTGTTATATGTAATTTGTTTGCAATGGGTGATCAATGGATAATTATGACCAAAGAGGGACTCGAATTGTTGAGACACAAACTGGCAGTGATACGCACGTGCCTTATGCTATTGATTTGGGATTTGAAGATCCCCTTTTTTAGGCAGAAGCTGGCCTTTTATTTGAAGATGAAGTAAACTCAGAAAATGAAGATGATGAAGAGTTACAACAAGGTCGAGTTCTGTTGAGGAATCTGGTAACAAAATTAAAGAGGTAGTGGCAGAGGTAATGGGCATAAATCTGATAAAAGAAAGACAACTGAAGAAGGGTTGACTGAGGAGGAAGATGGCAATGAAACTGAATATTTCAGTTCAAGTGATGAAGCGAGTTACAAATCTGGATCAGATCCTGAAGAAGCAGGGGTTGTTAGAACAAAATCTAGGTTCCCAAGTTTCATACCAACTGACAAGGTTGAGTTCACATTGGGAATGAGCTTTGAGTTGAAGGGTGAAGTTAAATATGTAGTGGACAAATATTATGTGACTAACAAATATCCCTTCTATTGGGCCAAAAATTGCGCAGACAAGCTTAGGGCTAAGTGTTCAAATTTGAACAAAACATGTACTTGGGTGGCCAACTTTGGCATAGATCAGGCGAAATGTTCAAATTGCTGTCCGCACTCAAATTATTTGTAGCAAATAAAATTCATATATTCGGTAACTACATTAAAAGTTTTACAAAGTCACAAAAACCTGAATCCAATTTGATAAAAAAAATCATATAAAAAGTAAGTGATTACTGATTAAGAAAGAATAATTTGTGTTGACCAAGTGAATATGAACTAGGTCCATCAAATTGGGACGGAGATAGTAATTCATATTTTGTCCGTGTCCGAGAATAACCTTTCCAATTTTTTACATGAATATTATTGGTGGTACTTAGTTGGACAAAAAAGTGACCAATTACTTAGAAACCTACCCATGTATGAAAATAAACATATGAAATGTCCCAAATGTCACATGCCGTTAGAAAGGTAATACAAAGAAAGGCTGAAATTGGGAGCAATAAGTGTGCAGTGTGACGTGGAGAATAATTTGGAGAACACTTCCGAATAAAAACCGCAAGAACGCTGGAAAGATATGCAGGCCGCAGGGTGAAGTGCTGAACAAAGGAAAAAATTGGGAAGGTAAATTTGTTTGTATAAGTTGTTTTTAGTCAATTACTTAACGTAAATTGAAGGAAGAAATTACATTTTTTATCTTACGAGTATCGCTTCAATTCCACAATTCGTCCACGTCTTTGATTTTGACCACTTTTGGTACATGACTGTTGTGTTTTCGTCCATATATGGTCCTTCCGTCAATGTATTGGTGATTAAAATCGCCGAAAAAGGACCACATGGTCGAGAAACATTAGTCAAGTACCAAAAATGGACAAAGTGAAAGACGTAGACTAAATGTGAACTTAACTTAAAGCTCATAGGATCACTAGCGGAATTATTTAAGTAAATTTGGAATGGAGTTTGACGATGGTGTTGGACACTTGCTGACACTCAATTTAGAGTAATGGTGATATAATAATGCAGTAACTTATATACTGCATTATTAGTTATTGATTTCGTTTGGGCAGTTATTGAAATCTATTTGATTGGATTGTTAGTAACTTTTGAAAATCTTGAATAACAAATAGTGAATTTTCTTTAAAGCAAGTGTGAACTTGCTTTATAGTAACTTATTTATAAAGCGGTTAGTAACTTAGGGCTGAGATATCTATTGTGTAAATGATTTGGAATACTCTCAATTTTCACACGGCCGATTGCCAAACAAGGTCATAGTAACTTATGAATGCTGCATGTAATTTTAGTGAGACTATGAGGTAGTGATTCAGGGTTGTGATACTAATAACTTAGACAAGAAATTGTGGTCAATTTATTATATTAATTTGACGTTTTTTCAGAGAGATGGGGACATTGTTGAGTGCAATTTTGTAACCTCAAAATTTTTTCTAACCGCAGAATTTTTTCTAACCTCCATAAAATTTCTATAAATTGTTCCATGATGCGAATTTAATTACTATGATTATGCACATTTTTTACCGGAAAAATGGTCTCGGGCCGATCCAAACAATACCAGTCCCAAGCCGGTTCTGGGTCAGGCCACCAGGACCTAGTCCATCCCTAAACGGAACTACACGCTTCCTAAAATTCACTTTTGAAATGGGACAATTATAATGCTTCTCACCCAATCCGTTTTGTTCTTCATGTTTACCTTCTGCAGTGTTTTAGGAAAGTGGGAAAACACTTGAGGAGTTGAGGGTAGGGGTGGTGGACCCAGTCCCAGACTAACCGGTCCCGGACATTGGGAGGAGATGCCCGGTTAAATCCATGTATGGACCGGTTCCATGTACCTAGGCGGTCCCGTCCAGGTCCAGACCCGGTCCTATTCTATTTTTTCATTTTCCGGTTTTCCCCCCATTTCCAAGCCAAAAAAACTAGCTTAGGCGGACTCTGGGCAGTCTCAGGCCCGAATTGGACTATCCAGGCCCGGTCTGGTCCCCAACAGTGCCGGACCCAGTTCTGGACCTGACCGGACCGGGTTTATCCCTACTTGAGGGACAGGAGTTGCAGACAGCATCCATATATCTCTCAATTCAAAGTCTGTTGGTTACATAAAATTCAGCAGAATTTCTTTGCTATATCAGTGAAAGACAGTGAAATCTAAGTTCAACATCAAAAGTAGAGCCAGTCAGCATTAGAAGAGTGTACTTCCCTTCAACCAGAGAACAACTTTTTAGTCTCAATATTATTCTTATTTAAAAAAACAGAAGAATATATTTGCAACTCTGGTGTACTTTTAACAGTAGTCTTTGATTCTCATTTGTTTGGAGTTGCATCTTCTGATGATGGCACATTGCTTCCATCTACACATAATAAACCATAACGAGAGATGAGCCAGCAAAAATTCAATAAAGAGGGCAGAAATGAAACTGCAACAACTAGACAGTTGACAATTATAGGAGTAACAATGGCAAAGAAATCTTGTTATGTGAGAATTGCCCCCTGACATGGCCTTTTCTTCTTTCAGCCACCGACACTTCTGATGGGAAAGAATATGTGTAGTTCTTGCATCACAAAAGCCAATCATTCCTATGTACCTTCACATTCATTTGGAGTTGCATCTTCTGGTAATGGCACACTGCTTCCATCTACACTTAATAAACAATAATGAGGTGAGGCTGCAAAAAAATAAATAAACAGGGCAGAAATGAAACTGCAACAACTACACAGTTGACAGTTGTAGGAGTAACAATGGCAAAGAAGTCTTGTTATGCGAGAATTGCCCCCTCATGGCCTTATCCCCCTTCTGCCACTGCCACTTCTAATGAGAAAGAATACGTGTAGTTCTTGGACCACAAAGGTCAATCATTCCTGTGTACCTTCACCTTCGTTTGGAGTTGCATCTTCTGATGATGGCACATTGCTTCCATCTACACATAATAAATAATAATGAGAGGTGTGGCAGCAAAATTTCAATAAAGAGGGCAGAAATGAAACTGCAACAACTAGACAGTCGACAGTTATAGGAGTGACAATGGCAAAGAAGTCTTGTTATGTGAGGATTGCCCCCTGACATGGCCTTTTCCCCCTTCTGCCACCAACACTTCTAATAGGAAAGAATATATGTACTTGCATCACAAAAGCCAATCATTCCTATGTACCTTCACCTTCTGTCGGGGCACAAGGCGATTTACGATATCGTGTTTGCTGTTGTGTTGGCTATATCAGAAATATTTAAAAAAAGAGCATAAGATAAGTGAGATGGCAGAACTGAAATACAATAATGAAGACAATGGAGCTAGCAATTGGGGACTGGACAAGTATGCAAAGGTAGGATAGATGACATGCCTAAATAGAAATTGCTATATGCAACAATGTCATAAAAATTTACTTGCTGACTCTATATCATACCATATTTCCATCATTTGCAATGGAGCCAAAGATTGATTATTTTTTGGCTTGAGAATATTATGGAATAAAGCAAAACGGCTCACTAAAGTGTTTGCGCTTCTTTCTTATGAAGAAGCAGTCAGTCCATGCAATTTTGGACGTGATTTTCACTATGGGTCATCCGGAAACAGTCTCCTTGTGCTATAGTACAGGGGTAAGACTGCGTACATCCGACCCCCCCTTACCCCACCGTAGGTGGGGTAAATGAAAATGATGATGACTCTATATCATACCAATTCTATCAAGGAAAAATAAACTTGATCAACCGAATAAAAAGAGAGATTTCAACCAAGAATTCAACCGAATAAATACTACCTTCGTCCAATCAAGTTTGGGTGTGAATAAGAAATGTAAAAATTGTGTGGTTGAGGTTTGTGCAGAGAGAGAGAGGAGAGAGAAATAAGCAGAACCACAAAATAATTACTTTAAAGGATAAGTCATATGTGGCAAAGTTTTTGGAACAAACAAAAATGGATATTTGACAAAGTCCAATGGGACAAAAGGAGTATGATTTTGTTTATTTTACCAAATAACTTCTGTCCCATGGGACGAAGGAGCAAGTTTTTGTTTAGTTCACCAAAAAAATTGATACAAGAGTATAACACCTTGAATTGGTTAATATTGGAAAATGTAGGGCTGCATGTACTTTTTAGCTAAAGTTGATCATGACCATTTTATCCTTCTTTCACATATTTTTTTCGTTATTTTGTCACAGAAGTGTATATAATTATTTTGTTTAAATAAACCAGCAGTTTCAGCAACTTCATTAATACCAGCCAACGAGCAGCTTTCAATCCTTTCATATTCATCTTATTCTGGAAAGTTTGTACTAAAAAAATTCTAACACTGGAACACTCATCTTATATACAGCTCAAACACAACTATCTCCATGGCTCCATCATATGTAGACAGTGGTAAATGTTTTTCTATAAATAGTAAATATTAATAATTAAAAGGCACTGTACTACTAACATTGAAATTAATAAGCAAAGAAGTAATAGCATAGTATGTTACCTGCAACTTTGGTCGAAGTGCTTCCAATGGACCCTTAGGCTTCGCTGCACCTTGCTATGATCATATTTATACGTTAGCTACTGAATTGTGAAGTGCATTAGTTTCAGATAACAACAGCTAAATGACAAGAATAGACAAAACTACCTTTCCAAGAGCCCAATCAGCAGAATCAAAATAAGCACGTTCATGGTCCTGAAGTTAAATTATAGCTATTCATTAAATATTGAAGAACAAGAAATATTATTCATAAATCTAGCACAGTAGGTAAAGATAAAATATGCAACACACTAATTTCGAAAAGTACCTTCGAAATCAATGGGGGCTTCTTAGACATGAGTGGTCCATACTTGCTCTTAATAACAACATCCTCCTACATAGCCACAAGCAGGCAAATGTCAAACAAAGTTCAATATATACATGAACAGTACTGCAAGCATTTAAATGTTAGTGGAATCACAACTTCCTGCTTAGATGGTGTCTTGGGATTTTCAATGCCACCCGAAACAGCTTCAGTTTTTACCTCCTCCATGCCTGAATTCTTTCACCAAACTAGTAAATGGTATCTGCAGCAATGTACAACTTTTTTTATAAGGCTTCTTCAATATATATCATTTTGAAACAGGCATATCTCAACCAAAATCAATAATAACATGGACAAGCAAAAAAAGTTTAAAAAGATGGTTGGAACGTATACATTAAAAAAAAATAGATTGAAGCAAAAAAAGGTGTCCTGTATCATTTGAAACAAGCTGCTATAACAGGAAACAAGACTTTTTTTCATTTCTCGGACTATCCAAATCTTTTTTGCACCAAAGTGGTGTGAACATCACACCAGACAATATTTTTACTTGAATCCATTTCACCATTGTTGTCTCCAATCATCAATCATCATTTACCCCAGTGCCGCAAAGGCTCCCACCTACGGTGGGGTAAGGGGGGTCGGATGTATGCAGTCTTACCCCTGTACTAAAGCACAGAGAGACTGTTTCCGGATGACCCATAATGAAAATCGCGTCCAAAAATTGCATGGACTTACTGCTGCTTCATAACAAAGAAGCGCAGACAGTTTGGTGAGCCATTTTGCTTTATTCCATCATATTCTCAAGCCAAAAAATAATGAATCTTTGGCTCCATTGCAAATGATGGAAACACCATTGTTATCTCCAATGAAGAATATTCTCTTTATTCTCCAATGAATCTATTCCCACTCTAATCCTTGCACCATTTTCTTATCTCTAAAGAAAAAAGTGGAAAAGCAAATAAGCACAACAACAGCTTTACATCAATTCTGATATCGTACTGTTCTTATTACACGAGATGGGGGGAAATAGTGCACACAATTGGAATTTGGGTGCATAATTCTGTCGTCATGTTCAGGTGTTCTTACATTATTCGACGTGTCAAAGTCTAGAATTGATATCAATTCATCTAGGTTAATGCAGTAGGAAATTGTTCAAATGACTCTTAATGGTTTGTTCAAGGTGTATTACAGCCAGTCAGCCACTATGTGCTAGACATGATTGTGCTTGTATTATTCAGCTGTAGTGTATTAGGCTGTGCTGTCTTCACTTTATTGTTTCTAGTTTCTACTTATTACTCAATACTTATTTTAATCAAACCAGGCAGATAGCATTAAGAATTAAGATCAGACAAAATATTATTTTCCAAACAAGAAAAGGATAAGAGCAAATTCCCAAACTATCAATATTCAGATTAAAACAATTCTAGAAAATTCAGATCAGGCATATTCCCAAATGGAGAGAACACGTCAATAGTTACAAGCTAACAGCTATATGTGACTTGTAGGAATTTCTTTTACTTTGTTAGGTGAAATTTTAAACTACATTTTCTCGCATCTGAGACGTTGGTTTGGGCCAAAAGAATACTGAAATGGCCAGACCTCATAAAAATCTTGAAAGTGACTGAAACTTGTAGATTGCTGTATCTAAGGCGACTGAGAAGCATTTCTGCAGAACTATTTTGTTTTAAAAACTTGTAGATTAAGCTGGACCGCCTGGGATAACTGTTCCCTTCTGACAATGATGATGCCACTATGACATCATCAAGATGTCGATGTGACGTTGTAACGATCCCATACAGTTAATCTGGAGAACTTTGGCTCTCATCCGCACTAAGGCAACACTGCCGGAGTATCGGTTGGTCATTATATTACAGCTTATTACAACTCCTTAATTTAGAAAATTATTCATAGTTTAACTGAAAGAACAGATAAAGAACGAACCTCAACAACAACCTCTTAGCTTGATCTATTCACGGCTGATAAGATATAAAAAGATATGTACGAACAAACAAAGCAAGATGCTATAAAATAAGAACAGTTAGTAATAATCGACTAACCTCGGGATATTAGAACGGAGAGAGCAGTATAGCGTCCGACCGTCTGGATGAGAGATGAGCGGTACAGAGATGGTAGATCGGATAAATTGGTTCAACGGTAGTAGGATCGGGTTATTCCAGATCTTGGGCATCTGATTTTAGTACTCGTTTTCTTTGCATATCCTTCTTTGTCATTGCTTTAAAAAAAATGATTTTAAAATAAGTTTCAAGAATGTGACAGTAAAAATTGATAGTCTTTGAAAAAAATTATTTTAAAAAAATAGTTGATAGTGTTCAATAAAATATATTTTTTTGTATTTTTTTGTTTGTTAGACTTTTTTATTTTTGGTAAGTTTTTCTTTTAAAAAACTCAATTACCCTTATTTTTTCTATCTTTTATTTCTCTTTCATATTTTTTCACCATTTTTCCTACTTTTTCTACATTATTCATTACACATACTATTTCACTCTTAAAAAATGTGTACGAGCCTATTGTAACAAACAAACAACATACGGAGGTAGTATGTTTTTTGTATAATTAAAAAGGTAAAAAAGAAATTTTCAGCTTTTAGTTTTAATTTTAAGCGTTTAGTTTATATAGATATTCCCATTTAAAAACACTCATTTTTACTTTTTTAATTCAAAAACTGAAAGTCATTTTTTTTAAATTGTTTGAAACACACCCTAAATCTATTCTGTTTTAGTACTCAATGTTTCGCATAATCTTCTAAGGGCATCCTCATTGTTTAGATTATTTAGAGTTTAATTGAATGATGTGTAAAATTGTTTTAAAGATTATCATTGTGAGTGAGATATTATTTAGAGAGATTATTGATAAAAATAATTTGGTATCAAGATTTGAATCCCGGATTATTTTAGATTGTAGTTAAATTTCATTTAATGCATGGTCTAGAAAATCTAATTATTTGAATATCATGGTTGATGGAGAGATTTAAGATTTGAGATTATTTAAAATTTATTTAATAAATATGATGTGTCAATGATGTGTCAAAGAAAAACCATTTATTTTAACATCATGAATGGAGATGCTCTAAGAAAATGTAATGTCAACATCGATTAAATTAATTCGAAGTTCTAGTTGAACCGACTCACTTCACTAATTTGCTGATTTGCTAAAATATATTTTTAAAATATTTTGTAATGATAAATGAAGAAAAATTCTTATGAAAAATAGCTACTGATAGATTATTTAATCTTAGAGGGTAGTGAGAGTTAGAGAGAGAAAGTGAGCAATTAATATTTCTCAAACCTCTATAACTACATCTAGGGGAGCTATTTATAGGAGAAAATGTGGATTTGGACTCATAGCTTTGGGGTTAGGAGGCCCTTACAATAATAAAGTCTCTAATAGGCGTAATAAAGTCTTTAATGGGCTGAGTACATGATTTACTTGGCTAAGTATAAAAATGGGCGATTTAGAGTTATACCCCACTTTTCGGTTGATATTGGACTTTGCAACCAATTTTCAAAACTTTTAGACTTTGCACCCTGATATTGGTATAAATAATCTGATCAGCAGAATTAATTTTTGACAAAAAATGCGCCGTCCAATTGAGTTCGCTTAGAATATGTCTGAATACGAGTCTAAAGTCAACCTTCCACCTTCTGATATCATCGACCAACCTCATCCATCTTCCCCCTAGAGTACTCTCATGAATAGCATCAAACACCATTTTAGAGTCCATTTCCACCTCAAAATAGACTTTGCACCCTATCTACAGCATTTTGTAAAGAAAATTTCTTCAATGGGGTGCAAAGGCAAAGACATTTTAGAGGAAATAAGGTGCAAGTAGGAGTTTTGAAAATGGGGTGTAAAGTCCAATATATGATCTAAAAAGCGGGGTGCAAAGTCAAAATATCCCTATAAAAATCTATCTTGCCTGAGTGTTTATGGCCGATGAAGCACCCTCTAGCCGACGGAGTGCCCCAACCCGAAGGAGTGCCAGGCCGACGGAGGACCCATTTTGCTCCTGGGCCTCCAGACCATATTCTGAGCTACTTTGCTTCTAGCCGATGGAGGACCCATTTTGCTCCTGGGCCTCCGGACCATATTATGAGCTACTTTGGTTCTAGCCGATGGAGGGCCCATATGGCCGAAGGAGTGCCACATGGGGTGTCAATCTTCAGTCTTTCGATCCTTTGAGTATGTGGGTCAAGGAGCATGAGCTCATATACTCTGTCAACTACAATAATGTTCTAAAGTAACTTCACTGAGAGCTGATTCTCTCCCTCTTCGCGAGGCTCTTCTACGATTATACTCGATTCTTGGATCTTCGATGGATTTGGATAGCTATCTGGTTGTTTTCGGTTCATCTTAAGTTCGGATTCCGTGCTTGGATTCGAACGTAGAGGACCTATTACGGATTATTTCGATGCCAAGAAGCCAAAATATTGTTCACGGTAAAATAGCTTCTTCGCTCAGATGTATTGTTCAAGTTGAATTGTGGTTTCTTTCCATTTGCGTTTGTTTGTGGTTTATGTTGCTCTAGTCGTAAACCTCCATTAATGTTGAATCCAGTCTTGGATTTGAGTCTGGGAGATTGGTTTATGCTCAGATCGAGGAATCCTCTTATGAAAATCGCCAAATTACTGTTCACGATTCGCTGAAAAGTTTTCAGCAAGGAAGGGTTGGTCAGTGTAATCCGGACACTTCGTCGTCTTGGTACTGTTCATCTGCAACTCTTTTAGCTCAGCTGCAGGGCAGACGGGTGATATCTCCAAAGCTTCAGGGTGGTTTGGGTACTGCGATGGCAAGGAAGAAACAGGGGGCTGGTGACTCCTCTACAGCGAGAACGACCAGGTCATCCAGGTTTGCAGCTTTGGAGAATTTGGAAGATGAATTTCCAGCCTTGACATCTACTGTGAAAGAAACTGATGCGAACAACTTTGGTGGTATGGAAGGGACTGTTGCACCGGCTGCTACTGGGAGGAGTACCGCAGCTACAAATCAAGCTGCTGGTAGTGATTCTGTGCAAACCAGTACACTGCCAGTTCATGCCCAAGATTCCAGGACTCGAATTACTCACTCTTCCTCCAGATTCTCTGCGTTGGAAGATTCGGATGAAGAATTCTCAACATTGAAGGCTGCAAATTTGGTCAAACTGGGAGAGAAGAACCTATCTGGGACTGCTATGCCTAAAACTTCAGTGCATATAGCTGTCAAATCCATTATGGCAGAACATATGGCTGGTGCGGGGGAGCCTTCCGCTGGGAAGACTTGTGCTGCAGGAGTTACTGCTATATCTGGGCAGACTGCTCCAACTGTTGTGACTCCTACTGTTGATTCCAGACTAAGTGATATAAAACTGAAACCATGGTCTAACCTTTTTAAAGACAACCGAGCTCCGGCGCATGGCATGAAGTCGAAATATGTTCCGCCAAAAGGCAGCTCTTTGGACTTTGCTGGGAGGGCTCTACCATCTATGATTGATATGTGGGGCTACTTCCTTGTTGGATGCTTCACAGGGAGATTCCCTAGCCTTAAAGCCATCTATGAATTGAACTAAGAGAAAATGGGGTGTGAGGTGCCTGATTAGGTCCCATGACAAGGGTTGGGTCATTTTCAAATTTCAAAATGAAGTTGATAGAGCTAAAGTACTCAATGAAGGGCCGTATAACATTTTTGGGAAACTCTTGATGCTGAAAGAACTCTCTAATTTCTCGTTTACTGATGAAGAATTTCTAAAGGTACCAATTTGGGTTAAATTCCCTAATCTACCGTTAAAACTTTGGAATGATGAAGCTATGAGCGAAATAACATCTATGGTGGGTGTCCCATTAACTACGGACAAGGTTACCCAGGAAAAAACCAACCACCACTTTGCTAGAGTACTAATCGAGGTTGATGTTTCGAAACTACCACCGCTATCATTTCCCATACGTTTACCTTCTCGAAAGGTATTCAAACAAATGGTGGTATACGAAACTTTCCCTAACTATTGCTTCCATTGCAAAGAATACGGGCATCACCCGTTTATTTGCAATGAACTAGCCAGGATTAGTAAAGAGAAAAGGGATGCTGAAACTGCCCAACTTGTTAATAAAGAGGTTGCAAATGAAAAGACAAGAGAGGAAATTGCTCAAGGAAGGGATGATGTGAATGAGCGCTACCTACCTCACCGCCGGATGTCGTGCAGGTAACAGAAGAAGACCGAGCTAATCCAGCACAGGTGGAGGAATCCATTTTGGAGGTTGCTGCTGTTCCAGAAACTGAAGTTGCCCCAGAACCTGCTGCTGTGCCGGAGCATGCCGCAGCGTTGGCTGCTGTGCAGGACAAGGTAGCTGAACCGGAAACTACGGTTGCCCATCCTGTCTCGGATACGGAAGAGAAATGTGATACTACTGATTCTGAAGACCAGACTGAAGACGAACCGGATCAGGAACATCATGTCAAGAAAACCACCCAAAAAAGTAGGAAGAGAAAGGGTGAGACAAATGAGAAGTATAAAAGACGACTTGGAAGAATGATTGGAAGGAAGGTAAAATAATTCTTGGATGGGGAAACTACGGCTTCCTTAGATGAGTTGGACTTTTCATTTATTTAATTCGTGATGTGAAGTGGGGACTGTCCCATTATTTTGATCTAGGTTAGTTTTTTCAAGGATATAACCTAGATGCGTTATATCTAGGTTAGTTTTTTCTAGCTTAGATAGTCATTTTGATTTGGATTTGATGCATTGTAAAATGCTATTTTTTCGGCTCCTAATATACTTACATGTTATCGTCTAAAGTAACTTCACTTAATTTAATCACAAAAGTTATTTAAAAGTTAAAACTTACTTATGTTGATTATTATATGATTCATCGAACAAAATCAAAAGTTATGTGTTAGATAAACAAAAACGATTGATAACACTAATAAGCTAAATATATTAGTTGCCAAACATGCTCTTAATAGTTTTAATATTTGTTTATCATCTTAATAGTTTAAAATTAGAAAGTAAATGTTACAGTTAGTAATAAAAAATTAAAACTAATACATTATACGTAGTATATTTTAAATAGCATACACTAACCTAAAATTTAACTTACATGTAAATTTCACTCACTTCGTTGGTGGTGAGATCAGTCTATGGTGGCAACGGTGGATTCTAGCGGTGGTGGCATCGGATTTCTGTCAGCTCAGCGGAAGTCTTCAGGAGAAAAATCAGCAGCCGACAGCCGGCAAGGTTCCATCGATCCGAGCACCCC